ACCCCCGTATAAGATCATTGATTATTCCGTTTTATATGAATTCCATGTTGTACGAGTCACTTAGATTTTACAAATACGTGTACCGGGCTGTGAACGGCTCACGTATTTGTAAAATTTAAGTGACTTGTACAACATGGAATTCATATAAAACGGAATAATCAATGATCTTATACGGGGGTCGACTGTATTTATATTGACTTAAGATCCTATTGCCTTTTATGTAATTCTGAAGAACTCTCACTATATCATCTAATTCATAATTGTCAAGAACTTTCTAGACTGCGTGACTATTATAAAATATCTCAAATATGTAATTCTATTTCACCACTCGACTTCAAACTAAGTTTAAATAATGCCAGTAAAACGAACTTATACAAAATTTATAATTATTTTGTTAAAATTTCTGACAAATACTATTCGACAAATCAGAACTAATGTTCTTTTTTGTATTCGTTGCCTTGTTAATATAGATGGATCATTACGTACGTTATTACAAATTGATGTCTATAGTAATTATGACTTTGTGTACCTTTATACCCTAAATTTGCTAAATTGTAATCGTTTTTAATCATTTGTACTATTCCCCCGTAACAGAGAAATTGTTCTCTATTTGTTAATACCAATTTGTATTGTATTATATTGTAATATTAATAAATAATTGATTGAAAAATTAATAGCGTATCGTTTTGTATATTTTATATCTTTATAAAATTTAAGGACATATTATTTTTCTTAAAATTAAAGTTTCAGTCAAAAAGAATTTTAAAGAGAATTCATTCTTATCTATCCTAAAAGGAAAGACATATCTTCTTAAGGACATCATAACAGACAAAAGTATATAAAGTCTGATTTTGATTTCTCTAACAAGAAGGAAAATATTCTGATTACTTATCTATTTAATAAAAAGATCTGAAAGAATACAGTTTAAATATCCTTAATAAAATAATAAACGTTATATTAAAAATATAATTTATTTACGTTAATTTATCATTTAATATTTACAAATTTATAAATTATACTTTGAAAATTTATCTTTACAATAGATTTAGAACATATATAAAACGTATCATTAAGGAAACCATAAACATAATTTATGAATAATCAATTAGAGTAATTTATTATCAAGTTATGATGAAATGCTTAAACATTTATTGGCTAATAGATTATCCTTCCGGTAAATATATATGTTCATTAATATTAATAACTCACTTATATTTTCGATCCATATATTTAACATAAGCGTGATCAGTTAATTATATGTATAATACATTATGATTTTATTTTAGGATAAAAAGTACACTAATTATAAATCACTAAAAGTATAAATTTGCTGTGAATTGTCAAATATAAACAGTTCTGAATAAAGAAATCATTTGTGTAATGAAAATATTTTATTTATTTACCAATGTATCGTTTTCACAAATAGAATAATCAAGTTTTTTAATCGAATCTTCAGAATGATGATGAAGATAATGTTTAATATGTGTGTAATTCTTGAAAATTGATAGTATATACAGTGTATATCCTCCATCGTTTTTGTCTCTTTCCGCCTAGTAAACACTTAGAGACTTTTTAGCTATATTCATTATGATTCGGTCAGACCGACAATGGATGCGGACGAGTAATAAGGGACGATGTCCGACATATCTGGGACAGACTACTCAGAATTCGATCCCGAGCATTCCAGAGCTGTAAGCTGGTGCCTTAACCAACTCGATCATCCGGCCATTTGTACTGTACATTATCATCATTATCACCATTCGGCGTTTCTGAGTCATATATTCTTGTTGCCGCATCCACCGTGTCTCCATATTTATTCCTAATTTTTCTCTTATATTTTTGAATCTTAATGCTGCATTTTTCTTTTTCTCCCATCTTCTCTATCTTCTCTTGATCGTGATTTTTCCATTTTCATTTTATGCAATATCTTATGTCTTTGACGCTGTATTGTTATTCATGGAAGCAATATACCATGCCCATCTAAATCTGTGACTTTATGTGTTTTCAACGATTTTCTAAATTGATCAAGTTATTTTTCTTCTTCTATATAATTTCTAATATAATACCAATATTTTTGTCTTACGAGTTAGATTATTCGTTATACTTTTGAAGAATCATATTTTTTATGCTTTACAGTTTTTTCTTCTCTGATAGTCCTGTCTCAGAAGGATATGTAATTTTAGGTCTTCATATCGACAGATAAAATTTACGTTTAGCATTATTCTATTTTCAATCTTCTCTTCCAAGTTTATTTCACTGTTTACTAGCTGCTTTGGGCCGATTCCTCCTGGCACACAGCAAGCCATAGTTCTTTGAGAACTTAATGATCAAAGTAATTTTAAAAGTTTTGAAAAAAATATATATATTTATTAAAAGAAATAATTCGTGAAAACTTTATATTAATTTACGAAACTAACTTATACACGATATTGTTTGTTTTTTCTTTTTCTTTTGAATAAATAAGTAAATTTTTTGACTAGCCACCTCATGAACAGACAACGAACAACTGGCCATGATCAAGTCTGATATCAGTAAATAAACTCCTGCAAATTTGATCGATTGTCCTTGGTATTTGTTGATATTCATGGAGTAAGATGCTCTAATAGTGACTGTTCACTAAGCGCAATTTTCAAGCGATTTATTCACCTTTGTCGCTGTCCAGTAAAAGTGCCTTTCGGTTAGAATTGCCTTCAAATAATTTGGCGACAGAGTACTGGAACAACATATATTTTCGCATAGCTATTCTGTCTCAGCCAATCAGCATGCAGCATTCGTAATTCCAAGTATACGTGACATAATATTTTTACCTATCATTCTTAGCATTACATACAGCATGGTGTGGAAATTTCGAAAAGAGACAAAAAGTAGCAAATATCAGATTAAAAAATTTTTAAAAATATAATCCAATTTGTCTAAAAATAAAACCATTACGAAATTCTATTCGTGATAATTTCATTATTAATTAATTTTTTTAACTTCAACTCCTAATTCAAATTTTTTAGGGAAAATATATAGTACAGTACATAACTATATAACTATTCAATCTTTGTATACTGTATACAGGGTGCATTTTTTATCTTGAGACAATGAAATATCTTAATTGGATTTCATTATTTTGGAAAAAGGTATAAACAAAAGTTGTAGGGTGTCGAGGAGGCAATAAACTGGTGACCTCAGACGTGAACTTTGACCTTGACCTTCAAGGTCATTTGGAGGTCAAGTCTGTTTTTTCAATGGGAACACATATTTTTGTCCCCAGAAATAGAAAAAGCGGGAAATTTTGCATTCAGATATACCCTTGATCTTAAGGCATAGGTCAAAGGTCAGAATTATTTTAACGTTAAAATTAAAAGCTTTTAGTAATGAGAAACCATATTTTTTATTATTGGAATGGACAGAGTTCCTTATATCAAAACGTTCAAAATTTCATCCTCTACAATCCCCCAAATTTTTAAAATGTCATTCTGATAGACTACACCCTATACATTTATTTATTTATGTAAATGTATATCTATACATATATAACGTTTTACGACTTAAAAAATGAATTAATTTATTAAAAAATCATAAATTATTTCTTCTACGGATTAAACAGCAATAGTAATTAATTGCTTGACAATCCAGAGATCTACGTAGTAATAAATATATTTAAAAAATTTTTATAACATATTTATTCTGGATGTTCACTAATAAAAGATAAGTTAACTTATTACTAGAAATCAAGAATATGTCCATAAATATCCACACAGAAATATTAATATTGTACTATTGTTTTACGCATTTCTACTAGAACAAGGATTCACGGAATAAGAATTTCGAAGAAGATAACAATACCGTCAGATTACAGTATTTTCGACATTAGTTAACAATAAAAATGATTTTTATAATGTTTATAAAAATAGTACATTCTAAAATAGCATAAACAGTCACTGCAATTGCAGCCTTTGACAAAATATAACAATTATTCGAATGGTAATTAAAGTACTTGATTAATACATTCAAATTAATATCCTATACTACATAATAAGATGGAATAACGATGTTCACATAGTTCAAATTATGATATTGTTAATGGAATTAAAAATACAATAAATCAATAGAAACAAATATTTACATTAATTTATTATACACTAAGTTAAAAATTGGTATTAATTTAAAAAATGAAATATCTGGTATATTTCCTGGTGTTTTTTGATATGCCATTTTAAAGAAATGAAATTGTAAGAAGTTTTTAAGAGAAAATCCCAAAAGGGGGCGAGGAAAAAAAGAGAGGGCGCTAGTAGCTTTTTTTTTTAGAAACAGAGGACAAAAGATGGCGGCCTAATCGTTGTAATTGATTGTTATAATTAAACTTTGTTCAGTTTTTACCATTGCTTTTATCTTATTCGGAACAATAGTACACTCCAGTTTGATTCTATTAAATTTTAGTAATTAAAGGTTGAGGGGTGGAGAGAAGAGAAAATGATGTTTCATATCACGAGTAGAGTCGAATGTAATGAAGATTTTACTCGTTATTACTCTTAACATTTACAATTTTTTAAACTCATTTCTACCCTCAAAATTAAGCTTTTTGCAATTTTGTAATAATTAATAATATAAAAAATTTTTTAAATAAAATTTTATAACAGATGGTTCCACACACAATTTTAACCTTATTGATCGGAAAGTTATTCGTCTTGTTGCTGGAATTTTTTATCTTTGATATACTACCCATCAATAAGGGTGTATTAGTCAATGAATTCTAATAAAGACATAAATTAAATTAGATAAATACATAATTTGTTAGAGGTCTGATAGAATTTTCTAATTAAATAAATAACTAGTAATTTATATATAATGACTATAATGGGTCAAATCAAGCAATTAAAACATTTTCATAGTTTACTAGCAATTTAATTAACTTTAAAAATTAATAATTAAATCAGTCATATGGTACAATAAGTTGTCAAGTTGATACTTGATTCTTTTTTCAGTCTTATGTTTCATTACAGCACCATATTAAATGAGTAATTGAGATGATACTAGAAAATAAAGATTGATGTAACATAAGACTAGACAAATCATCATTTTAATGTCATTAATATCTGAATTTACAAATCTGTATTGATGACGTTGCACTCCTATGTCTATAGAAAGATCTTTATTGTTTTAGTCTAATTTATTTTTAATGTATGAATGTTATTTAGGTTATGTATAAAAACATATTAAAAAAATATTTTTAATTTGTTCAAGTCTCTTTTACCTGATCTTGATAATTACCCAGATGGTTAGATACATGCCCATAGGATGTTTTCAGATAACAAGCAGATTTCATCTAGGTATTATCTCGGTGTTTCCCTGTATTGAGAATTAGCTCCTTTTCCAAAGTGAACATTCTTTGGAGTCCAGTGCAATAGATAACATGTGGAGAAAAATTATCGTCCTTTGTTTAGTGTGACATAAATGAAATAGGCAAATTGAGTCAACTATTTGGTGGAAAAAAGATTGCTTCTTGGAGATTTTTATATACTTTTTGAGGAACTTAAAACAGACGAGTAAATACTCGGGTGTATTATATTTTTCATCAGACAGCATGAAAAAATAGCAACTGTTTTGGTTTAATAAAGCATTTTGTATGTGTTTTTATTAATTTTTTTATTATAAAAATTTGTTTGACAATTTTAAATAGCTTAGACCAATACAAAATGTATTGAAAATGCTCTTGTTAATGCTGAAAAATGCTAATTTAAGAATAGGAGTCAGCCCAAAATTGAACTTATACAATGACCTTTTCATAAATCAGCAAACTTGCTTTTTTGCTGATTTATGAAAAGATTATTGTATGAGTTCATGTCAGTGTTTTAATCATTTTCATTAGTACTTTTATACCATTTTAATTCATATGATGTCCTTCAAAAAGAAAATGTTTTACAGAAAAATCTTGCCATTCTCAGAGAGAATCCAATGTCTGAGAATGAAATAACAATTTGTCACATCTACTATTCGAAAAAACAATTTTACTGCTAGATATTGCAGCCAATGCAACCACATATACAGAAAGGAATATCATGCTAATCAGTGTGTTAATTGCTGCAAATAAATTTTATAATAATAATTCAGTGTCTGAAATTGTATCAAATCTAGTATATTACATNTTATGCTGGTATCATGGAACTTATGGTGAGACACTTGTGACAAAACAGTGTTGTGGAGCATTCACATACACTAATCACAAGAGTCTAGACAACTAATCACTTGGATCATGTAAATACTCACATTTTCTCCAGTGTTCCATGAGTTTTTGACAAGGACAAATGTCCCTGCTGGGCCCATAAGCTGGTAGCAGAGAGATTGAGATAGTTTTGTAATCTAGACAGATTTTACCATGTCCATGTCTTCATATGACATGGACATGGAAAAGTCTCATGCTTTGCAATGCATTGCTACTCATCAGCCAGTTGTTTGCCTATCCAAGCAAACACCCATATTATGTGAAAAGACCCAGATTGTTTAAATATGATTAATTTTAATTAATAAATCACTACCAAAGATGAAGGCAATAAGCTGTTAATTCAGAATGAATTTATTTATGAATCTAAGTTATATGTATATACTGTATTTATATATAGCATGTATTCTATGTATACACATGTATGGGATGATTGAAAAGTTGCACACACAAAAATATTAGCTTGTGTAAATTGTGTCAAGTTAATTTTATTGTCTCCCATCACAAGATGATGTTATAGTGACTGCTGACTTTTATGTAAGTCATAAAATTGGCTACAGTATAACTCTGTTCATTGAGGAAGTAAAATGGTTTTTTTTCCATGAACAATGAATTTTCATTGTTGAGCATTATTTTGCCAATTGCTGTTACACACATGCTGCAGATAAGTTTCATCAGAAATATACAGATTGTACAGTTCTTGCAAGAATTCTTTGATGTCCATTGTATTTCTAAAGATTGTGGCCCCATGATTCCCAGATTTGTCACTTGCAGATTTTTTCCTCTGGGGTACCTCAGAGGAGCTTTAGAGAAATAATCATCATAATAGATGAACTAAACAGGAACATTATATCAGCAATTTCCAGCATCAGTTTTCAGGTGTTTCACAAGGTGGTATTAAACATGGTAAAAAGATCTTGCACACATTCCTGAGCAAGGAGACCATTTCAAACGTATATTGTAATAAAATGATTTAAAAAATCAGATTATAAACTTTGTTTTTACTACATTCTGTATTTTCATACATTAACTTCACAAAATAAAATTGATTTCTAAAACATATATTACTTTCAATCTCCCTGTACATATGTATACATACTGTATATATAATTTGTATTTTTATAAAATGTATTAACACTATACTTTAATGATATAAATTAGGAATAGCACCAAATATGATGTTGGCTAAGATTTGCTCAGATAGAAACAAACCAAATGGTCAATATAGAATTCCTCCTAACAAAGAAGAAAGGAAAAACTTTATATCAAAACTCCCACTAAGAAAAGTATGTATTTTTAATATTATTAATAATTAATTAATTAAGTATATTTCAATGTTTAAATTCCTTTAATTAAGATATCTGGAATTGGTCCAGTTCAAGAACAGATGCTTAGTTCACTTGGAATTAAGACTTGCCAGGATCTCTGGGAAAATAAGGATATTATATCACTTCTGTTTACACCTACTTCTGTTCATTTTTATTTGAGGGTGGCCTTAGGACTAGGACATACTCATCTGAAATGGTGTGTACTATATTTTTGATATTTTTGTAAACTAAATTATTTTAAATTGTTTGTTTCCTTTTTTTTTTTTAGTGATAGTCAAAGAAAAAGTTTGGGAGTTGAAGAAACATTTTCGTCTATAAGTGATCCAGAAGATCTTTATCAAAAATGTCAAGAATTATGTAAAGAATTATGCAGTGACATAACTAGCCAAAATATCAAGGTATGCTCTTGAATTTATGACCTGTTTCTAAATACTGCCATTAAGGGAGTTATTTATTTCCCAAAAGTTTGATATTATAAATTGGGTTTATCAGGAATTGTCTTGTACTGTAATTCAAAATTTTGAAACCAGATTGATTCTATTTAATAGAGGATTGAATGCTGGTTTCAAAAATGTCCTGATTACCTCAAAACACCTCTTAGTTTTCAAGATGTTGGCAACTAAAGTTGATTCATACAAGAAAACACCAAAAACTATTTTCCTATAGTATGTCCTCTATAGTCAAGTAGCTAACCACTCTGTTACTTAGATTAAGTTGTGAGGAAGCAATATTTTGGTCTTTTCTTACATGCTTTGTCAATTTTAAATGCCAATATCTTGAAAATGAGGGGAATATTGAAGTAATCAAGGGTATTCTCCAATAGAACTGGTCCAGTTTCAAAGTTTTTAGTCATGTTACAAATCATTTTCTTGTTAGATTCCTGGAAATAGTTTTAAGTGTAATATAGAAGTGATCAATATAAATATCAATTCTATAGATAAATGTGATATATTTCATAATATAATGGAAAATTTATGACACCAGATGACCAAATAGTTAATATGTCTGTGATCTGAGTTCAAGTTTTGATCAATCTTTAGGAATTTTTATATTAATCCAGATACATTGGGCTTCATTCCTCATCACTCTGTTGTTACATTAGGATTCAAATTATGATGAGCATGAAAATAATCTCTTAACTGCCTTTAGGACAGAGTTAAAAAAACTTGTCATGAAAGTGAAGATTTTTTGCATATTAAGATTACTGAGATAAAATTTTTTTTCTTTCATTCTGGAAGAAATAATGTATTAAGTGTATATTTTTAAATTTCAGGGCAAAATAATTGTGCTAAAAATCAAAACCGTAAATTTTGATGTGCATACCAGGAATATGACTTTAAATACTTATACTTCAGATTTTAATACTATATATTCATCAGCTAAGAAGTTATTACAATTAGAAATAGCAGCTCATCATCCAAAACCATTGAAATTAAGGTTAATGGGTAAGTTATTTGATGAAATTTTTTTTAGTGAAATGATAAATCCAATAATAATTATTTTGTGTTGTCTTCAGGTTGAAGAATAAACAACGTAAGGTCTTTTTTTTTTGTTGGTCAATAAAAAGATTTAAAAAAAAGATCTTACATCACTTACTCTTCAATTTGAAAAAAATACAATTTAGAATAAGGTGCAACACAGTTCTATGCTATCAATAATTATTTTATAAATGGAATTTTAGTTGATGGATTCTTATTAAAACTTTTTTATTGATAGGTGTAAGAGTATGCAATATAATCAATGAGAAATCAGATGATAAAGGTAGCCATTCTCAGCAGACAATTGTAAACACACTAAAAAATTTACAGAAAAAAACGCACGAAATTAATTCAACTGTCCCATGTCCCATTTGCAACCAAGTTTTGCCGACAGATAAAATTAATTTTCATTTAGATCAATGTTTACAAGATGAAAATGAATTTAGTTTTAAAGACAGTTTTTCTCCATCAAAGTTTGAAACACAGAAATGCAATGAAGAAATTACTGATAATGACAAACAGCTGATAAAGAACTTGAATGATAATACATACATTGAAAATAATGATGAGGATATAGAAGGAGATACTTCAGAAAATTTAGATGAAGAGATTAAAAATGAAGAACAGATAAATTATTCAAATCAGTTAAATGAGAACGATAATTGCAATACTGAAATATTTAAAGACAATGAGGATGTAAATGAAAATGATAACCTGATGACTTGTCCAATTTGTGGATTTTACAAATGTACAAGCTTTCAACAGTTAAATCAACATATAGATTTATGCTTGAATAAATCAACAGTGAGGGAATTAGTATCACAAACGATTTCTCAGTCAAGTGAAAAAAGGTAATTATTATTTTATTTAATTTTTCTGTATTGGCAACACAAACAGTTTTACAAAACATATATAGGAGATCCTCGTTAATTCAAATTCTGATAGTTCAAAATCCTATTAGTTCGTAACTGTACTAATTGTCCCGGCCAGGGGTATAGAGATTTACATATTAAGGAATTAGGTTAGTTTGAAATTTGAGGTAAAAATTCTGTCCAAACTGTGATATGCATATGCTAACTCATTCGTTTAGGTTGAAATGCCTCCAAACTATAAAAGAACACTAGACTAAGAACAACTTTAATTTGGTCAACATGGCTTTGCTTTTTCAGTAACACATTTTTGGATGTCTCCTTGCCTGGAATATCCTTTTTTCTCTTATCTCATAAAACATTGCTGGGTTTTGAGATTGCAGGATTGGGCTACGAGTAGCAAATTGATATATTTGGCTCTAGATTTGGACAACTTGCTACATTTTGGGCCACTTTAAAAATAATTTGGGCTGCATTTGATAAAAATCTATCTGAAGTTCTCAATGGAAATGTATTGTTTACCTGCAGTTTATTTATATTATTACAGTATTATTATTACTATTTAATGAAAATATCATTCTGTATATTAATTAGCTTCCAGTTGCTTAATAAATTACATCAGTTACATGGCATTTGGCATATTTTTCAGAAATATGTAAAACTTGGATAATTTAAAGTCATGATTATTTCGTCCCTTGAATTTCAAACTAAAGGATTTCCTGTATAAAAAATGCATTTTGGACTCGTAGTCCAAACAGTAAACATAGATTATTTAAGTATTAATATTACAAAAATTATTTTTTTACTTTTCTTTTTAATAGTATTAGATATTAAACAGTACCTATAAGTGGATTTTCTAGCATATATACATTACATAACTTGATAATCTTGCTCTCAACAGAATCATTAATCAAAGACTGCACACTTACCTATTTAATTTTATATATATACAGTAGTTTATTTATATTCCTTTCAGCAGTAGTTACTATTATGTTCTTTGCATACATAATGTCACGATGTTGTTATAGGAGCATATCATTGATATAGATATTAGAATTGAAGCCAATATCGACCCTTGTAGGATTCGTTATTGTATTTGTATTTAAAAATTGATTAATATATTAGTATAAAGAATTAAAATATTCAAATTTTATCCATTTCAGAAAGAAAATATCATCATCCCAAACACCACAATCACAAAAAAAGTTGAAAACAAATAATAATTGTAGAAAAATTAATGAATTTTTCTGTAGTCAGTAAAATTGAATATTTAAGTAACACTAGCAGATAGATACTAAAACTGTAAAAATATATTTTAAAATTTTCTTTCTAAAAGTAAAAAGTTCCAGTATGATGTAAAAATGTTGTATAAATATGACTTGCTGTATAATAAAAATATTTTAACTAATTGTCCAAATTTCTTTTTATGAAGAAAATAATAAATACATTTACTTAATAATATTTTCAATTACTGGATTCAGTACAGTATTTTATATTACTAATAATATTATTATTATTGTTTTTTGTGAAATTTGATTGTTTGGCAGATTACCGTTTGTTACTTGGCTGTGAATGGCACAGTTTCTTGGCAGTTAACATTAGGAAAAAGATATATCTTAAAAAATTTAAAACATTTCCAATTGGTAAATGGTACTACCATAACATTATTTAAAAATATGAATTAATCTTATTTTATTATCTACATAAATTGAGTACTTTTGGTTACTTTTAGGTATATAAATGTGCGAGTGAGTCTTATAGCGATAAAATGTTTAAAGGTCGCAATTGTTACGAAATACAATAGAGCGTCGTTTATCCGAAAGAATTCCAGTCGACAAATTTTAATTTTCGCTAGTGCTGTGGCGCTGCAATCTTTGGCTATATCTTGGGCTACTCCAATATTTGTTGTTTGTGCATGTGTTTTAGCTGGCAGCACTATCACTTTTTTGTGGTGTTTTTCTGAAGACTGTGTGTCGTGCTGAATCGAACGTTTTTGAATTTTTTTGTTTTTATATTTTTCAATTTATTTATTTTGTTTGTAAAAAATAAAAGAAATAATTTTTAACGATACAATAGTCACGATTATTATNTGATGAGGATATAGAAGGAGATACTTCAGAAAATTTAGATGAAGAGATTAAAAATGAAGAACAGATAAATTATTCAAATCAGTTAAATGAGAACGATAATTGCAATACTGAAATATTTAAAGACAATGAGGATGTAAATGAAAATGATAACCTGATGACTTGTCCAATTTGTGGATTTTACAAATGTACAAGCTTTCAACAGTTAAATCAACATATAGATTTATGCTTGAATAAATCAACAGTGAGGGAATTAGTATCACAAACGATTTCTCAGTCAAGTGAAAAAAGGTAATTATTATTTTATTTAATTTTTCTGTATTGGCAACACAAACAGTTTTACAAAACATATATAGGAGATCCTCGTTAATTCAAATTCTGATAGTTCAAAATCCTATTAGTTCGTAACTGTACTAATTGTCCCGGCCAGGGGTATAGAGATTTACATATTAAGGAATTAGGTTAGTTTGAAATTTGAGGTAAAAATTCTGTCCAAACTGTGATATGCATATGTTAACTCATTCGTTTAGGTTGAAATGCCTCCAAACTATAAAAGAACACTAGACTAAGAACAACTTTAATTTGGTCAACATGGCTTTGCTTTTTCAGTAACACATTTTTGGATGTCTCCTTGCCTGGAATATCCTTTTTTCTCTTATCTCATAAAACATTGCTGGGTTTTGAGATTGCAGGATTGGGCTACGAGTAGCAAATTGATATATTTGGCTCTAGATTTGGACAACTTGCTACATTTTGGGCCACTTTAAAAATAATTTGGGCTGCATTTGATAAAAATCTATCTGAAGTTCTCAATGGAAATGTATTGTTTACCTGCAGTTTATTTATATTATTACAGTATTATTATTACTATTTAATGAAAATATCATTCTGTATATTAATTAGCTTCCAGTTGCTTAATAAATTACATCAGTTACATGGCATTTGGCATATTTTTCAGAAATATGTAAAACTTGGATAATTTAAAGTCATGATTATTTCGTCCCTTGAATTTCAAACTAAAGGATTTCCTGTATAAAAAATGCATTTTGGACTCGTAGTCCAAACAGTAAACATAGATTATTTAAGTATTAATATTACAAAAATTATTTTTTTACTTTTCTTTTTAATAGTATTAGATATTAAACAGTACCTATAAGTGGATTTTCTAGCATATATACATTACATAACTTGATAATCTTGCTCTCAACAGAATCATTAATCAAAGACTGCACACTTACCTATTTAATTTTATATATATACAGTAGTTTATTTATATTCCTTTCAGCAGTAGTTACTATTATGTTCTTTGCATACATAATGTCACGATGTTGTTATAGGAGCATATCATTGATATAGATATTAGAATTGAAGCCAATATCGACCCTTGTAGGATTCGTTATTGTATTTGTATTTAAAAATTGATTAATATATTAGTATAAAGAATTAAAATATTCAAATTTTATCCATTTCAGAAAGAAAATATCATCATCCCAAGCACCACAATCACAAAAAAAGTTGAAAACAAATAATAATTGTAGAAAAATTAATGAATTTTTCTGTAGTCAGTAAAATTGAATATTTAAGTAACACTAGCAGATAGATACTAAAACTGTAAAAATATATTTTAAAATTTTCTTTCTAAAAGTAAAAAGTTCCAGTATGATGTAAAAATGTTGTATAAATATGACTTGCTGTATAATAAAAATATTTTAACTAATTGTCCAAATTTCTTTTTATGAAGAAAATAATAAATACATTTACTTAATAATATTTTCAATTACTGGATTCAGTACAGTATTTTATATTACTAATAATATTATTATTATTGTTTTTTGTGAAATTTGATTGTTTGGCAGATTACCGTTTGTTACTTGGCTGTGAATGGCACAGTTTCTTGGCAGTTAACATTAGGAAAAAGATATATCTTAAAAAATTTAAAACATTTCCAATTGGTAAATGGTACTACCATAACATTATTTAAAAATATGAATTAATCTTATTTTATTATCTACATAAATTGAGTACTTTTGGTTACTTTTAGGTATATAAATGTGCGAGTGAGTCTTATAGCGATAAAATGTTTAAAGGTCGCAATTGTTACGAAATACAATAGAGCGTCGTTTATCCGAAAGAATTCCAGTCGGCACATTTTAATTTTCGCTAGTGCTGTGGCGCTGCAATCTTTGGCTATATCTTGGGCTACTCCAATATTTGTTGTTTGTGCATGTGTTTTAGCTGGCAGCACTATCACTTTTTTGTGGTGTTTTTCTGAAGACTGTGTGTCGTGCTGAATCGAACGTTTTTGAATTTTTTTGTTTTTATATTTTTCAATTTATTTATTTTGTTTGTAAAAAATAAAAGAAATAATTTTTAACGATACAATAGTCACGATTATTTTAAAAAGTTTACATTAGGCTTAACATCGACGAAAATTCAACGCGAAGCGACACGCAACGGAGAAAAATTTCAACACGGATAGGTTAATGTATTTTTTTCGTACATAACCGGTTATCCGAACAATCCCAGTCCCCAATTGATTCGGATAAACGACACTCTACTGTATATCCATGTCAAGGGACCGTTGGAAAGCTTATTACTTTCCGATGTACAGTACAGTACGTAAAACTCGGACCCTCACTCCTTCCTGCTGATTTCATCTTCCTACAAACTCAATAGTTACTCTCTACGGAAAACATGGACTACCGTAAACTCCCCACAAATTGCTAAATCCTCTGCGAGAAATATACACTACCCTACAGTGGCGCCCGCATACTATACAAAAGCTATAAAAAAAAAGGCATCGTACTTACACAAGAAGCTTCAAACTATGATTTAGAGTCGGATCAATGTTTTCACCAGGTGGCAATGGTTGCAATCGGGGCTAACTTGGCCTCGAAAACAAGGAGCATTCCTTGTTTTCGAGGCCAACGAGGCCAAGTTTTGGTCAACATAAGACGAAGTTTGCGTGGGACAATGAAATCAATGAACGATATGTATCCTTATACTTGTGGAATAGACTAGAAGTTATGAATTTTCTGTTGTATGTCGATAATGGAAATTGGGTCTCCCTTGGAAATTAGGGCAACACAAACGAAAGGGGGCACATTTTTATAGAAAGGCATTTCGAACTTTGGTCTAATCTAACAAAACATCCAGTGGAATGGCGCAATATGTTTTAAAATAATTTGAAGGTATATTCGCTTTGTCAGAATAAGCCTAGGATCGCATGTGCAAGTTTCTATGACTTTTTATTGAAATTGACGTAATTATTACACTTTTCGTAAAGTAAGAAGGACGTCAAATTAATGTAAAAGTATATACAGTAGAGCCTCGAAAACTCGGCCTAATGTGGACCGAAGGGTGGCCGAGTTTGTGAATATGCCGGGTTATCGGGAATGGGGTTAAAAAAGGATAAGTATACGTGTTTTCTCAGAAAATATTGTACTGTACTTGTATGTATTGTTTGCTTGAGAATACAACAGAGAATAAACTGCCCAAATACCCTTAAACAAAGGAAAAGTACGTCCTTTATGAAGGCATAGAGCCTTTACTACATGAAAATGAAAATTAATGAATACACTGTGTACAGTAATTTACCTGATAAGACAGACNCCCAAATACCCTTAAACAAAGGAAAAGTACGTCCTTTATGAAGGCATAGAGCCTTTACTACATGAAAATGAAAATTAATGAATACACTGTGTACAGTAATTTACCCGATAAGACAGACCTCAGAAAAATACTTTGAGGCATAAAGCTGTCTATGATGAAAATTAATTATCTAAGGGTATTTTTGCCCTGCCAAGGTGTGGCCGAGTTATCCGGAGTGCCGAGTTTTCGAGGCTCTACTGTATTATTTTGACAAAACGAACGTGCCTCGAGTAAACTCATTTGTTTTAACAAAAAAAAAAAGAGAAATCAAAATAGCTTTTGCTTATTTTTATTGAATATAATATAGGAAAAAATGATGATATATGCGATTAAATGCTAAAATCCATTATCCGCTGGAACGTATTTAACCGGTAGGGATGGAAGGGAAATAATTATTGGCATATTCCTTCGTCACACTGCAAGAAACTTTGGCACGGACACATTAATCTGTACACTCCTCTTACTTTCAATGTACTTCCGTCGGGGTAAGACAAGATCTTATCTTCAGGAAAATTTCCGGGAATGCAACTGTCTCCTCGCTGACCAATTTTCTGGCAGAATGGAGTGACGTATCTATCCATGCCTAAAAATTAAATTTATTTTAAATCAAAATTATAATTTAGCGTGACGCAATATAACATAAATAATTAGTACGTGTAGTCGAGTTAGAAATTTTGTTTGCATAATAATAGTGTTTTCGTCATACAGAGACACGAGGGCAACCTGTCTAGTTTGGATTCTTGGAAACATTTTGCGCGCTTTCAAGTTTGATTTCAAAATTTTAACTGTGCACTGCCATGTTAGCTCTTTAAACAATAAAAAGCGATAAAATTCATCCATTATTTCAATAGGCAATGATGCGTTTTGTCTTTGAATGCTCTCATCAAACAGGACACACACATCTTAACACCAAACAATTCGTTAAATACATTTTTTCATTTACCAAAATATTGCCCCAATGCATTGCAAATTCTGCCACGGAAGCTAATTAACAAGTAATATATTTTTAAGCTTAATAATAATGTTAATTAGATTCTGGTGGCAGTATTTGCAATGCACTGGGACAATATTTTGATAAATGAAAAAATGTGTTTAACGAATTGTTCGGTTTTTAAGATATGTGTATCCTGTGTGATGAGAGCTTTCAAACTGAAATTGTGGATAAAGTCGACTTCGATATGCCAGACTTCGTATGTGAATTTTTCGGCAAATGATTAGTTTTGTTTGATAAAGCAACACGTGGGCGATCCTTCAAGGGGAATGCTTCCCGGAGGACTTTCTACGGGAAACTGACCATAGTTAGGTGTTAGACACGAAGAAAATACAGAAAAATATACGTAGACAGCACGTTTGTCAGTCGTGAACCCATGACCAAGGGACAAGTACCAGTGATGCATCCACTCGGTCACTGATGGGATCTTACCATATATTGTGTGAACCTGGCCAAGTTAAGGGTCCTCGCCTCACTGCTTATTACTAATATATAGCCTATATAGTTACTGTATATCTGCACAATGCCTATATAGTAAGTGTGGGTATGACACTTTGAACTTAAAACGGCCCTGTAGGTCTCCGTAAGTGCCAGTATATTAGACAAAAACTACTATAACATGCGCTACTACTCTTAAATCCCAGTTAAATTAGCTTTCGATATTTAATAAAAGTGACTTAAAACTCGGGAGCGAATCCACGGGGGCTAAAGGAGCTTAAACCCTCCCCAACGACACATTAGTTATTTGTTGGAACTTCAAGACATTATTTAAAAAAAAAAAAAAAAACAATTATGATAGCAAATATGGTTTACGGACATTCGCAATACAGTCTTGCATTTGTTAATAAAAGGTACTTATTAGTTGCTGAAATATTTATAATTTTTGAATTAGTCTCCCTTTGGGGTACTTCTGGATCTATCACTATGATTTACACGAATTGACAATTAAAAATCGAATCGCTTACCTAAACGGCAACATTCGTCGGGTGCACAATCATCTGCCGATTGGCAATTCATCACTTCCTGAAAATGGAAACAAATGTTATAGCTTATAATTTATGAACATTTTCAAACAGTCTTTAAAAAGTATTTACCTTAAACAAACAGGCCATTATCACCATCGAAAAACAAAACAATAACTTCATGATTTCTAAATTATTTCGGGACAATAATCGTCGATCTAAAAATAAACAAAAATAAAATAATTAAATAGTCAAAACTAATTTTTATTATTTGTAAAAGTTTTTAACACGCGAACTAATTAATTAAAATTTGTTTTATATGTGAATGCTCTTAATTAATCAAAAATTTTGATTAAGAGCATTCCACGTGTTACTAAAGGATCCGGGTTCGATTTCCATTCCACCTCTAACTCAATATCTGTCTTATAATATATGAGCCATTTCCATATTAATTTCTTACGTTTTGTAACATAAAATATGATTTAGAATACCAATTGTTTTTATATAATTTGCATGGAATCATTTAAGAAAATCTGTCCAGGACCCTTCTGCAGACGTGTTTGAATTTAATTAATTGTACAAAACAGAGGTAGCAGCGAGGAGCTAAGGACCGTAGCTAGGATTATTTTAAGAATATAATAAAATGTACCGTGTATTAAAAAAAAATAATAACTGTTGAATAATGAATAAGTGTTGGAAAAAAATGATTTATAGATGAGTAATTAAGAAACATCCTGATCAAGCGACGATTACTCAGAGGAATTAATTACAAGTAGAAGTTACACTGAGCATTTTCTTGAAAGTCATTTCCGCCATTGTTTTGCATTAAGTTGTTTTCCAATCTATTGACAAATAAACAATACCCGGAAGTTTGTTAGACATTAGATAATGCCAAGGAAGGATGCTCTTTTTGACACATTATCAGAGGAACAAAACTTCCCTTAATAACGTGTTATGTTTTCTTCCAAAATTCTACGAGTCAATGACCAAGAAAAGTAACGAAAAATTTCGATTCATTTTTAATGACGAAATAAACATATTTTATATAAAATTCTTTGGATTTTTTTTTAAAAATCTATATTAAGCAATACTTTTGGCTATTTAATTCTACGACTTCTTAATGTACAGTACAAGGTCTTAAAATTTGTGGGAAGATTCTTATTGTTCTAAGATAATGAAGATTCAAGTTCATTCACATTCGAGCGAAACCGGTCTGATCTTTGCACTTCTACATTTCGTTTGACTTATACAAGCTTCGTTCGGATCCTTATTGCTAATTGATAACAGATCGTTACTTTATTTTCTAAAATATTTCATAGATTTATAATAATTTGATAGTGAAAACACAATTAATTAAAAAAGAATTGTACGTAAAAGTATAATTTAAAGTTGAAAAGTTAACTTTAACAATGGGAAGGTCATTCAGAGCACTTAAACGCCCTTAAAGCTTCAAGATCATTTTCAATAACTTACATTATTAGTAATTGGGATTTTAATTATCAAAATTAAAAAACTAAATAAATTTATTTTAAAATATTAATTAGAGAAGCATCTTTATGCAATATTTTTAAATAAATTCACATTTTTTATTAACTGTAATTAAGAAAAAAAAAAAGCCGTGGTTCGTACGCACATTCGCGTGTTTTTTAAGCGTCAGAAATCAAATTTCGGATCCGAAAAGAGTGAGAAGAATTTAAATTTATAAAATATTTACAGATGTAAACATCTACATAATAATTTCATATATAAATAGCATGCGAATCATTATTTTACGGGATTCCCCTTTCAAAACAACTTTACTAAAAATTCTTCTTGACATTTTTAAAAATAAAAATTAATTAATTTAAAAAGGAAAAAAAAATTATATTTAATTATTAAAAGTAATTGTTTTTAAATTAAAAAGTTATATATAAAGGAAAAGACAAAAATCAAAACAGAAAAAAAAAATTTATGTACGGTACTTACCCGTCAAGAAAATATTCAGAAGTGCGACCTTTAGACGGGATTGTTGCCGTTTTACGTGTTTTCATCCACTCCCTCGCACGTGACTTCCACTCGATCCTTCTTAAAGTTAGGTAATAAGGAGGTGTGGCAACAGGATGCCTTTTTACATTTGCTTTCCTGTCATCACTCGCCTCCCAGTTAAGTAAGTTCCCGAAATGAATGCAATTTCCACATTTCTCAAATCGATTTTTATTTGGTTTACAAAATCGAATGCTTTCGTCACAATTAATTTAATAGTTTATATGCATTTTATTTTATATTTCTTAAGTTCTTCTTCATCGTAATCACCACTTTATTTCTTTTAGACGTAAACACCACGAAAATGACTTCACAAAAGATTAAAAGTGACTGAAACACAGAGAAACAATAGTAGCTGTGTGTGTTTATCCCATTTATTCTTAATTAATATTTTTGAGTCAGGGATTAAAAACAATCTTTGGCTAAAGATTACAGATTGGCATACGGGAAAACCTGTAAACGCGAAAAATGACAGAATTAAGCACTGTTCTGTAGTACATGCCTGAGCATAACATTGCAGCTTACAAGAATAGACTTATTTTCTATGAATCGGCATATGATAATTATTGTTATGTATTCCGTTAAAGTGTTCTTTGAATTTCAAAGTGTCCTAAGTAAACTAAATATGCGCGATCCAAAAGAGGGCGGAAATACTATTAGGAAGAGCAGAATCGTTCCCACATTTAATAAAATTACACGATAAATGCTTAGTCTGAAGAAAAACTAATACGAGAAGTTTTATACTAACTTTATAGTTAGATAAACCTCCTCCAGATTTGTTCGCTTTTGTATCTAGCACTATATGAAGTTTGAAGGTCCTCAAACTATGAATTAAACACAGTAATGAGATCTATAGAGGTTTTGAGTTAAGAGAATTTATCAAACACGTGGATTTCAAGGTGGTTTGCAATGCCGAGTCGTACAACCGCTCTCACCAAAGAAATTAGAAGGATTATCATAAATAATAATCCTTCTAACTTCAAAGACCGTATGTAATATTGCTATTTTAGTGTTTGTTTAAAAATAAAGACGTTAATGTCGTAATGAATAAACAATTTTTATATTTTAAGCAACTTTATTTACTAGTGTCATCTCCTAAGAAGTGTTTATTCATAGAAAACAACAATCGAGTGATGTTCCGTACGATATCAAATCCGGATTCAACTGGTTTGATCTGATAGATAATGCCAGTAACTGCTATTGTAAATTTTACCTATCACCACTGAATTATTGTTCTAATTTTCGTTATAGGGAAACCCGGAGCGGAATGGGGTAGTTAACGAAGAAGTTAAAATTATGTCAACAATAAATGAAAAATAACAAAAATATTACATTATATTTGGCACATAATTATTTAAATCATATTTTAAAAAATCAATAATTTTGTATGAAAAATAAATTATTAAAAAAAAAAGCTTGCCCACATTCCCGTTCCGCCCCAAACTCGGGGCAGAATGAGGTACGAGATTAGTGCTCAAATATTAGTCTCATTGCTTAGAAAACTCGCAAACAAGCGCGGAATCGTCATCGTCGCTGTCAAAACTCGCACAAGACATGAGCCTATTTTTTGCACGCGACACATGAACACCAACCCCTCAATCGACTGTGAGTAAGCCTCGGTGCAGTAAAAGGCAAGTCGTATCATCTCCTTCCCAGTAACCGTTCCCTGTTGTTCTTTTTTACTAGACTTTTTTATTTTTATTTTTTCTTTTACTTTTCGGGAAACCGTCCTATTGTACCCCAAAGCACACGCTTCTAAAAATACAAACAAACAAATCTTCAATAAACTAACTACTGTATATAAATTTGGTCAAATTATAAAATATACCATATACAGTAGAGCGTCGATTTTCCGCAAATCAATCATCCGAAAGAATTCCAGTCGGCAAATTTAAATTTTCGCCAGTGCTGTGGCGCTTCAATCTTTGGCTATGACTTGGGCTACTCAAATATTTTGTTTTTGATACTAAATTAAACATCTGATGTATAATTTTTTATCTCAATAACCAAGTACTGTACTGTATTCACACTGACGTGTTGTTGCAGTCTGAGTGTAGGACAGGGAGCGAACCAATTCCCTCACCTCTCTTTCATTTGTAAATCGTCTTTCCCATTCCGCCCCGGGTTCCCCTAAATAAGCTGAATATTCCAATTATATTGATATACTGAAAATAATAAATCCAATTCAGTTTAAATATTTTTGTTTAAAATTACATGTTCGTCTATATCGAGCAAAGTTTTGAAGCCGTAGTTGTTCAACGGGATTGAATATGGGAAGGAACGTCTCGGTCAAAAATCGTGAAGAGCCAAAATAGATACAGACTGATTCTTCCCCGTTCAGTTAGGGTACTGTTCAGCTTGAGTATAGGGAGAATCAGCTGTAAACATTCAAAATTCTTTTTAATATATATTTTCTTGTTTTTAAACCAGATATTGCTTTTGTCTTTTATAAAGGACTGCTTATTAACTTGGTTTTGTACATTATAAATTATGAAAATTTATAGAAATGTTAAGCCATGTGTTAAGATAGGACAGATTTAGTGTTACAAAAAAGATTTAGGATGGCTTTGGAGTTTATCAAGGTTAAACCCGTATCTTTTTTTTTTTTTTAATTTATTAATATTAGGTGAATTATTGTAGTTTGAAGTGAGAAAGGAGCTATAATATATGTTATTTACAATTTATATTGTGTTTATTATTAAGATAGAGATTAAAGTTGAGCCAAAAAAAAGTTAGGAACTGGTTGGAGGGGGATTAAAAACCTGTAGATTTAGTTCTTGGATATCAAATATAGGTTGATAGAGGAAAAAGTGGCAATTCCAACTATTTAGACAACGTATTTACAAGCACATAATAACTTAAAGGTAACTAGAGGTTGACAAATAAAACAGGTAAATGTAGAATGGTAGAATAGCAAAAGTTCAGACAGTATTATTAGATATTGAGTGATAGTGATTAGTGATGACGTTGAGTCTAAAAGACATGTTAGTGATGTTTTAGGCCCATACATACAAACGACAGGTGTAGTAGGCCATCAATAAATCTTCATTCATACTCTACTTTTGATAGTGCAGAGTATTATATAAATTGCCGAAATATGTAGAGCCAATGTGAGTGTTGTAAGAAATTAATTTATCATGTCAAAAATACAAAACTATTTCATCTCAAATACTATATCTCACTATACTGAATCAAGTAAAATTGTATAGCACACTTTATGTAGTGTTAAAGTTAATAAAATTATTTAAAAAATAGTTTGTCTTTATCTGGATTAAATTTTTATGGATGTTTAAACTATCAATGATAAATTATGGTTTTTCTAATTATATTGTCATACATATGTAATAAAATAAAACAAAGAAATAAATTTGCATTTTACTATTTTACCATTACCTATGTATTGAACAGATATAATCATCTGATTTCATTGCAGTGGATCAAGAATGAAAAATGAATTATGAAGTATGTTAAATGATGTATTAATTAATGATATTTTTAATTACTAGATTAATTATTTGATTCAAAAAAATCTGTTATAATTAATCCAGCTTATCTGGAAGAAAATATTTTTTAAATCTCTGTCATAGAACTAAGAGGATTCTTTTAATCATATTAATTAAAGATGTGGCCAGATCCACAGTGGTTGTGTGATGAGGGATCATTTAACACATGGGAGTACACCCATTAAAAAGTTTTTAGGCTCCTGATCATAATAATAAGCTAAAGCCTATATACTCTTCTCCATCACTTTACAACAAATGTTTGAGTTCTTGTAAATGCGAAGCCAGGGAAAAGTGACCCTGTTAGTCCTATAGTAAGCTCTGGCATGGCAGATAATTGTAATAGGCAAACTGATAGTCAGCAAATGCAGTGAGCAGTGCACAAAATTTCGACTATGTTCTGTGATCTAATGTCATTGAAGAAAGATGACATTTAGGTGCTGTGCACATATTGGGACAAGATTTTGCTGCATTTTTTACTTCCACGTCCCCTTCTGTATACAATTTGTCACCACCACTGCCACCCCTCCCCATTTGTGCAATCATATGTCAATTAACAACAGAATATTCCAAAATAAATGAATTATTTTGTATGCACACTCAGATGATTTCTTCTCCCCGTGTCAGCATTCATCAACACCCTCTTGACACACTCCCCCATCTTGATGTCATCGCAATAAATGCATGCAGTCTTATTATATCAGTGCTCATCGCAGAAATTTTGTTTTATTCAACATATTAGTGAGCTGTTTAAATTGTATGAAATTGAGTTCTTTTAAATATAAAAAATATAGGTAATCCATGAAATATGAATTTACTACACATACATAATTTTGAAACATCCTATGTGTTTGTGTAACCCACTGATTCCCAACCTTTTTTGAGCCACCACCTCTTGATTTCATAAACTTATACCCAATGTGCCCAACCCATTTTCCGTTGTGTGAGAAAGGCTTGGAAATAGCTTAGAAAAACTTTTCTATGAACCTCATACTTTGTGTCTTTACTGTACAGTACATTTTTCTCCATATCAGGAAACCATTAAATGCATGTATTTTTCTTACCTGTTTTAACAGAGAAAAGGAAAAGGTTGCCAGTTATCTATACTCCTCACCCTCCCCTACGATCACCATTCAGTTAGGACCCTGCCTCCAGCACCCCCTGCCACTTCCTTGGTTCTTTTTCTCCCCAAGATTTACTCACCACCCAAGGGTTTATATTAGTGATGTAACAAATATTCGGTTACTATTCAGTATTCGGGCTATTCGGCCTATTTATTGCTATTCGGCCGAATACCTAAAAATCAGGAGTAAGAAATAACAAAAACACAGTAAATTAATCATTTTGGTATTTAGATTTAATGTTATTGGATTAGTGTTGTTTGTTTATATTTATTTATAACTTATAACATGCACAAAATAAAAAAATAATATTAGTCACATGTATTTACAATTTATAATTACAAATATCAGCATACGTACACACCTATTCGTTCGAGAATAGTCACACACATCTGAGGGTCTGACCCTGCCTATCCTTCTTTTCAAGTGCTCATCTTTGCTCTTTCCTTTCTCTTTCCTCTATCTCTCTAGTCTACATATGCCTATGCATACATCATAATACATGCTCACGATACTTTCGATTCGTCACTTTTCTGTCATAGTTTTTCCATTTTATAATTACGTGACTCATAGCTTGGTGATAACGGAGAAAAGAGACATATAGGACGTCGGCATATGTCACAGTTATGATTTCACAGATTTGAGACAGCTTGATAGCCCGAACAGTCCCAGGCTTTCTCCCGTGCACGCTAAGTGACTTTCATTACAAGCATTTAGATTTCCGAAGTCTATGACAACAATTGTTTGGCATTGACAGCCGCAAATTTTGCGCCAATAAGCTGCTTCGACTTGTTCGATTATGGTATTTTCACATTTTCACTTCTCAGTCTTTCTCTGTTCTTCTTCCGTTATTTACACGTGTAGGTCATTTCATTGTTATTCACATTTGATATCATCATTTATCACATACTGCCATGACACTCTTGTTTGTCCGCTACAATGTCAAGAATTAATGCGATTGGCAAAGCGTAGTGACAGTGGGCCAATGGAGAGCAGGGTCCTTGCAATAATGCAGTTTGCACGTGAATTTTCGTACGTGCGTTAGTCAAGCCGAATAGTTTGGCCGAATATTCGGCTATTTGGCCACGCTCCTGGCCGAATGTACTATTCATTGCAACACTAGTTTATATGCTTTATTTCTATTTCAGTGCTTATTCTTTTTGCTCTGTCAAAACCTGTATCTTTAGCAAGAGGAATTGTATCAATTTCTGTTGTATTGCAAATCTTGGGTGTCTTGGAAATTTTTCTTTGCAAACTGGTTCTTATTTATGCATTAGGAAAATAAAGAAAATCTAGAAAAATTATGCAGCCTGCTCATAGTCAGGTGTGAATCTGTAACTGACTATTGACAAATGTTTAAAACTAAGACTACCAATGTTCAGTGGTTTTGTCCCTTGGTCACTCAACTCATGGTAATAGTATGACATAGCCAAAACAGATCATCCATGAAAAAGTTTCCAGGATTCCTCATCTGTATTCAATTCCAGACTCCAAGAATGCCAGGCTGATGCCTTTATAGCCTTACATAGGCTAATGGTAGTTGGCTAAGTTATACAAACATACTTATGATAAATCATTGTATGACAATATTTTATCAAAAATATTTGTTTATACTCATCAAAATCTTTTGTAATATTCAAAACTTAATCATCAAATAAATAATATTAATGATCTCAATTCGTTATGAAAGAATTTTATGCACCATGGACATTTTTTAATGATATTTATATTCAATTTTTTATCCTACACAAGAATGAACAAATATATTGAAGAAAATTTTATTGAAAAAATTGAAATTTAAAATATTTATACATAATCTTATTAATTGGTTGATCAAATTAAAAAAAGAAAATAATAATAATAATAAATAATAACATGTAATATATCCATAAAGTAATAATTACTTCTAGTCTAAATTAAATATATCCTTATATATATATATATATAAAACATTATGAAACATAAATCATTTAAAATAATTGTTCCACCATTGCATCCTGGAAATAAATTATTTTTCTCAGAGTTATTTATCACAATTTGCAAATTTGCAATAATAATAAATACTCTCTTTCACAGATACAAATGTATTCTATTTACAGGGGTGTAGCTCTAAAAATGCTGTTTAGGAAGATTTCAGATGGAAGTGTATGGTATAAGAAATGATTAGTCCATTTGTAGTGGGACGTTTAGAGTGAGTCGTTTCTTCTGTGATTCGTTGTTATTTTGGGAATATTTTTGCATCTTGCCATATTTGCACATGTAATGGTTGCAATATATTTTCCAAGAGAAATTTATTAAATTTACATTTGTAGTGCAGTGTAGTTTTCTATTGACTTTAAATCTAACCTGGGCATATTGCTCTAAATTGAGAGCAGCAATTTTTTGCTTCTAAAATTGTTTTCCTTTTAAATATTAGAAAAATAATATATATATATTTCACTCTACTATTGTTTAGACATTTCAAAATTTTATTCATTGTTAATTTTTCTGCTGACTATGCCATATATTGGAGTGATTAAGATATGCATATATGTCAATATATTGAGGATGATATTGAATAGTATATATTTTCCAACAGATTCAATGTGATTTTTTGCAATTCCCTGGATATGTCCATTAAATGCACAAATATGGTTTAAAAAAACAAATCTTTTTTATACAGTTATTAATCATGAATCTACTCATTTGTATCAAAATTACTATAAAGTGTACCAAATAAGACTTACTTTATCCTATATTGAATTTTACATGAATGCAGTAAAATATATTTGTTTTTTTACAAATATAAATAATCACTCATTCACTAATTGGTTCCTCGTTTATAAATTTCAGTAAATAATTATTTACTTCAAAAACCAAATTTTATTCAAATTCCTAACATTGTTTGATCAACTTTGATTCTTTATATCATTTTGTAAACTGAAAATAAGTATATGACAATTAAACATTTTCTGAATTCAGTTTAAAACTTTTCATTATATTAATAGCGAGTTTCAGCCGAAGTTTTCATCTCTAAAATGTGAATGTCAAATGTTGCTATCTTGTAAGCAGCGCTTGACATTCATGTTTTAGAGATGAAAACTTCAGCCACAACCTTGCTAATATTTACGCTATAAATCTAAATTTATCAAGCAATTTTTTAAATTTGTATTCGATCTTATATATATTTGATGAAAATCATATAAACATGCAAAGTATATAGTTTTATTAATATAAGATTACTTTTTAGATCCAATTCAAAAACTATATTTTTTAAAGCAAAACTATTAAGAAAATAATACTTTCTTATTTTTAATCAAAATCTAACAGAAAATTTTCACTGTCACCTGATAACAGATATATAGTGCAGAAATACTAAGTTTTTTTGTTTCGCTCCAATAAAATAAATTTTAATATCTACATCATTTTGAGAAGATTCCTTAAAAACTGTACTTTTAGGATACCTTATTCTTTAATTGTTATATTTAAACTCTTTAATTAAATTCCTTTAGAGAGATTTCTTAAAAATATACACTGACAGACAATGACAAAAATATAGATTTGGATTTGAATTAAATTTGTAAATAGCAATATTGATGAATTCTATGAGTTCTGTTTATTTTGGAATATTTAAAAAATAAATTATGTAATCTTCAAATGATTTATTTTTAATATCTTTACTTAATAAATTCAATGACCATAGATAATATGAAATATATATTAATATTTTCCAAAATTTATATTTTAAGTATGAAAATGTGACATCATTTCTAATATAATAAAGAAAGTCTAATTGAAATAAATTTAACTTTATATTAAACTACTTGAATTGTGTAACACACACAAAATTTTGATTTACAAACAGAATATTTGAGTTATATTCTTTTGCAGTTTTAAAATGATACAAGAAAACTAACTCAAAAATGTTAGGCTTTGACTATTGCTTTGGTTTTCTTGAAATGAGCAATCATTTATCATGGCAATGTAATTTAAATCACAAATAAATTGAAATGTAAATAATTATTTACTTTTAATGCATATATATATCATTAATATGGAAAAATTATAATTTCTAATTTTTTTTATAAAATCTAATTACAAAAAGAAAGAAAGAAAAAAAAAAAAGCTAAAATGATAGTGCATTCCAATTTGTGAAAAGTCACATTGATCCATTATCCTAAAATGCTGTATCATTAGTTCCATATAGAACCACAAAAATTATTCTTCTCATTGGAGAAAAACTAAATAAAAATTTGAATAAATGTATTTATATTACAAGATGGAATTTGTAAATGTCGTCTTTACAGCTATTGTTGTTAACTTCCTGTCTTCATCAGCTCTAATAAACATCCAACAGAACCAAAATAACCCTGTAAATAAATTTACCACATGTCATTTATCTCTAAAATTTATAAAAAATAAAAACTAATTTGATAACTTACTTCATGTTCTAAGAAAACAGCTTTCATAGTTCCTTTTGACCAAAATTCCATTGCATATGCAAGTAATTTCATTGAAAGTTCATTGATATGCAGAAAGTTTCCAACGAAAACAACTCGTTCAATACCCTACAATATATATTTGTATAAATCATCAAATCATAGATCTGATTTATAGTTATGATTATAAGAAATTCAATTTAATATAATTATTGAATCTAGTACAAGATCGCAGCATAACTGTCTACCTCCATATAAATTACAGTGGAACCTTGCTTAACAAGCACCTCTCATAATGAGTAATTTGCATAACAAACAAAAGAAATAGTAAAAAAACGACTTCCTTAATGAGCAATGTTCACATAATGAGTGGTGAGAAGAGGGGAAGTCCCAGATTGTGCACATGCTACATAAGTCTGTGTTTCACTCTCATTCTGCTAGCATCTTAGTGTCACTTGTGATCACACATTTTTCCAAACTTGTGTTCAGATGTATTACATTTAAACAANGCACTACCAGATTATGCAGCCAGTTGCTGACTGCATCCACGAGCTCATCATTTGTTTCAAACTGCTGGGTAACTAACTGCACCTTATCTTGAAGAGATGGTAACTAAGTCTGTGTTTCACTCTCATTCTGCTAGCATCTTAGTGTCGCTTGTGATCACACATTTTTCCAAACTTGTGTTCAGATGTATTACATTTAAACAACAACAACCATAGCCCGTAATATAATAAACATGCCAAAAGATATGCCAAATTCTTGGGTCATGTAAAGGCTATAATTAAATATTAAATAATTTGACTACAGGTAAGCAGTTATGCTGCCATCTCGATTCCAAATTAAATTAAGATTTTTTTTTTGTTTTCTGCAAATAGAATTCACATTCCAGAATGGTTCATTCCACACTAGAAATGATGCTGATTCACGCACTTTAACAATGTATATTGCATAATTTTCTTTGACTAAACATTATACATAAAATATTTCACTATTTTTTTCTGGCATGGAATGCATTATTGTATTTTATATTCATTTATATGGAAAAAATTGTTTCGTTTAATGAGTGTTTTGCATTATGAGCAAGATTCTGGAATGAATTATGCTCATTAAGCGAGGTTCCATTGTATTTAGTATTTAATTAATTACATAGCCATATTATAGCCTGATAATTTGGCTTTAACTCTACAGTTTAATTAATTCTTTATTTTAATTTACAAACAACAACAACTCCAAATCTGATGTAAAAAAAATCATTCCTTTGCACATGAAACTGGCCAACACATTTTAATATACACAAACAAATTTAATGAATGTTTGACATATCTTACAACATAGCATCATCACATGCATTAGATTCAAAACTTACTACACAAAAGGCTATGCAATACAGATAAATTTTATGCTTTCAACACTGTACAAAATAGCTTTGCCCTTCACCACAAACAGGTGAAGTATAAAATGTTATTGAATCTCATGTACACAAACAAGGATTTATGCTTCTACACAAAAAATCATCCTTCTTAAATCAAAAAACACAACACCTTAATTTGCTGAGAAAAAATTTAATGTAAAGCTAACGTTTTCAGCCAAATCAGTTGGCCATCGTCAGGCTAAGAACATTCGAATATAAATAAAATAGAACAAAAATTTAAATACAAATAAAATAAAATAACGAGCGAAATATATATATATAAATGTATACAGACTAATAAAATAAATAAAAATTATTGTTACAAATAACAAAAATGTATATGAAAAAATAAGCATAGGTTAACTAAATATTAAAACGTTATATAGAAATTCAGTGAAATGCACTTTATGCAAAAAAATATTAAAATCGCCGCAATAAATTAAGATTTGTCCAATCGTTTGATAAAGTATTTCCAGGCCGAAGGCAACCCTTCAGAATCTCTAGAATTGATGCATGAATCATGCAATTTGCTTTTATATATTTCAATTTTTTTTGCGCAATTTGCCAATGTCGGTGAATGTACTGATTTAATAATTTCTGCTTCGTCCCATTTGACGATTGAGCCTTCAACTTGCGCCATTTGCAATAGTATAGTGGCACTAGATCCCTTAAAAATCACAAACACAACAATTTATATATAATATAAAAATCTGCTAGCACAATTTTTTTTCTGTCCAAATGCAAACTAAAAATAGAGTCAAAGTATTAGCAAGTCAATAATATTGTTTCAGGGAACTATGTATAATGATCACTTGCTGCTGCCATGGTAGTGACATTTCCACTGGCATAAAAAAAAAATCATGCGCACTCTCGATCTTTTATCTCAAAAATGAAATCATAGACCTCCAATTTTAATTGTATTTTTAATTTCCATATCTTATGTAAAATGACAAAGCAAAATCGAGCAATCAAATTTTGATGATAAACTCAATTCTATAAGCCACATAGACAAGGTTTCACTAACATTCCACCTCAATAAGCATCAATAAGAGCAAACTCCAAAGCTGCATTTGGAGTTGCTCTTTCAGAAGGTTTCAACTGATAAATTAGAACGGTCAGTAAATTAAATTTTAAGCAAAATATTCACTACAAGCAAGCTAGTCTATCTGTCACGAATAAATTTTTTTTAAATTGATGACCATTACTATCGAAATCTGTGTTTAAAGATGAAGATGTTGAATTTTTTCCATTGTATATAATTATTATTAATGTAAAAGTAACATGGTTGTTTTACAAACTTATGGCCAGTAGATTCCTAACTGTCTTAATGAAAAGGATGATTATGAGTATGAAAAATAATTTAAATTGCATTTCTACAATATTCACTTTATAAATTATTCTATGAATGGCCAGTCTATAGTAAAATTCATCTTAATTTTGAACCACTGAACACTAATAAGTAATTCATGACAACATATAATCCAAAGGTAGACACAAAAATTTATGTGCATATCTGCTAAAATAGTGACAATAATGTATTCATATCATTAAATCATTGTAAATTAAATGAATAATAACCAAATGACAAAAACATTCATAAACTGTCACAATACAACTATGCATTGATATTTTGAGAATACATGTGTTAAATGGCTGGCAGTTTTGGCAAAGTTATGACAAACTCAACTATAATTTTAAACCAAAAATAATAAGAAAAATCAATACTATAATAACTAAATGTATAAAAGATATCAATGAAGAACTGTATGAGGTAAACAGGATCATGATAAAAGTATATTAAATAGCATTATTAAATAAAGCAGTGATAACAAAAATTAAAATTAAAACAGCTCTTTTAATATACAGATAGTAACAAAAGCTCTGTCAATATACAGTAGTGGCCAAAAGTAGAGCTATCCCTTGACATATTTTTTAAAAATGCTGCCTGTTTTTTCTACCATCTACTACATAATTAATATTGTGACAATTTGGATATAGCCCATCTAATTTACACACTCCTTATGAAATCCCATTCTATCTTCCCAAACATTAAACTGATATATTTTAATATAATAAACATTAAAAAGATTGACCAACACTACATTCCAAAAAAACTGCTGAATAATGCTACTTTTGTTGATGAAGAGGATGTTTAGTTTCCTTTTCCCACTCCTTATCTCAATTTTTTTCAACCATCTGGATGAGTAACAACTGATTATCCCATCAGATGATTATTTTCTGGGAATAATGATTAGGTAGAAAATATAGATAAAAAAGCAGATTTTTTTAGACTCGGGACAGTTCCTCCAGGATAGGATATTGCCATATAGACCCCTCCAGCTACTCCTCCGACCACATGTTACAGCCCTACAACTAAATAGAGGTAATGTGACGATATTGTAAACTCTCTCTCTCAACATAGGGAACTTAGGTTTAGAATGTATTCATCTTTGTAGGTTTCTTATTTTGTTTTATTAAATATTTATGTTAAGGAAATGTCTCTCATGATAGTTTTGATTCAGATACTTTAACATTTCTTAACTATTCAATACGCGTGTTAATCTGCGAGAAATAAATGTGATTAACTGGTATCAGTATCCTGACATGGAGTAAAGACTTTACAGTCTATACCTTTTATTTATAAAAGTCCTCCTATAAAAAGGTTTAGTTATGGACTCCTCTCTTGTTGTTATTACCAATTTGCAGAAACCCCACAAAGAATTTTCTGCTCGAATTCTATTAGATTAAGTCATCCAGTGACAAGGTGAGCAGATCATTCAGATCTGACGATTAGAAGGCCTTGACCCCTTGTTTGTATTCTCACAATATTGTGATAGTTGAAAACAGCACAAAGAGTCAAAATACTCAATTGAATCAAACAGATTTTATTTTAAATCTGATTTACACGATAAAAATGAAGTTTTAATATTTTACATGGTGACAAAAGTAGAGCTACCAAAAGAAGTATGTAGATTTGTCCAGTATTTTTAGGACAAAATATTAATATTTTGTGACATAATCAGAGCTTCTGATCACTGCATCACATCTATGTTCCATTGAATCAACAAAGTTGTCAAACACTGATTGGGGATTTTGGTCCAATTGATGTGTTCATGTGCAAACTCTAATCTCAACTTTTTGTTTTTTGCAGAGATGAGTGGTTTCTTTGCTGGTCATCGCCCATGTAATCCAAAACAAGTCAAATGTCTTCGTACAGTGCTTAAGCTTATATCTGGGTTACCCACTTCACGTTTAATATGTGAAGCAGTCAAACAGGGTTGGCTACACTCATATGCCCAATCAAATGATCCAACTGTCGTGTTGTTTTTTGTGGTCTGACTGCTTTGGAAGAAACAATGGACCCATATATTTGAAAACACTTTCGAGACAACAGTTTTATGCACATTAAAGATTTTACCAATTTCAGTAAAGGTCTTTTTTTCCTTCAAACACATATCTACCATTCTTTGTTTGATATCATTTGATAATTGTATTCCTCCAAACATTTGTTATATTTCTTATAAAATCAGTTAATATATATATCTCTTCATCCAACTGATTATGATTGCATTCTGTTTCATACAACAGTGCAAACAAATTTGCATAATTCCTTTGGTAGCTCTACTTTTGTCACAGTGTAAAACATAAAAGCTTTGTTTTTCTTGTGTTTTGTTTTGTTTTTAAATCAGATTTAAAATAAAATCTGTTTGATTCAATTGAGTATTTTGACTCTTTGTGCTCTTTTCAACTATCACAATATTAATTATGTAGCAGGTTGTAAACAAAATAGAGGTTGCATTTTAAAAAAAATATGCAAGTGTAGCCACTACTGTACATCTTGCTCTGCAAGATGTACAGTAGTGACAGAGCATGATAGTACAGTAGTGATGTACAGCAACATCTTGCAGAGCAAGATGTTGCTGTACATCACTATGCAGTAATCTTGCAAGTTTTGCAAGATTACTGCATAGCTGTATACTGATAGAGAAACAAACATTGCAAGATTGCAATTTTTTGTTTTCTTATTAATATATTATAGCAATCACTTTTATCTACTTTATATGGCAGATATGTACTTTTTCATTTACATACCCCTCAGCTCTTAGTCATTTGATTTGTATTTAAATTTTGAAAAATAAATAAATCAATTTTACAAAAAGTTGTCAACCCCTGGCCTAGACATATGCAAAATTCTTCACATAGAAAACAAATTCTGAAAAATGATAACTTGGTACTTGGAAATTAAAATATCAATCCATAGATGAGAGCTAAATATACAAGGTCTGTTCAAAAAGTATCGGACCTTTGGTCGGCAAAAATAAATTTATTGACTTTGAGGAACAAAACCCTAATCCCCTTCAAAGTAGTCTCCTTGGTAATGTATACACTTCTCCCAGCGTTTCTGCCATTGCTGGAAACACTGCTGGAACGCATCTTTTGGAATGGTTATCAGCCGGTCCGTCGCATTTCGCACGATGTCTTCTCTCGACTAAATTTGGGTTCCTTTTAGCGGCATTTTCAGCTTGAGAAATAGCCAAAGGTCACATGGAGCCATGTGGAGAGAATACGGAGCGTGACGAACCACAGGAGTATTGTGTTTGGCGACGAAAGCCCGAATCAGATGCGCAGAATGGGCGGATGCGTTATCACGATGGAGCTGCCAAGTTTTGATCGACCACAGATCCCATCGTTTGCATTGCACTGTATCGGAAAGACGACGAAGGACCTCCTGGTAGTACTCCTTTGCCATGGTTTGGCCTTGTGGTGCGTACTCACGACACACCACCCCACGAGAGTCGAAAAAACTGTCAACACGACCTTTGATATTGCTGCGGACCTGCCGCGCTTTTTTTGGCCTCGAGGATCGTCCCCGAAAGCCCGCTGAATCTTGCGAATGGTTTACACTCGGGTATCGCCAAGGTTTTTGGCAAAATTTGATGTAATATCGCTGCTCACGTTGTTCAGTCATTTTCCAGCTTAGTGAAATCCGACGAGAGCGCACTACATGACCTCACTCATACGCCGATTGCCAACGACTGACGCTTTCTGCAGGCGGGAAAAAATTCAGGGCTGTGCATGACTGTCCCCTCCACAACTCCACCGAAGGAGGCTTCTCTCGCATCATTGGTTTACGCGGAAAAAAATAAGGTCCGATACTTTTTGAACAGACCTTGTAAATATCTGATCCCAACTGCTAAATTCACAGAACATGCACACATGAAAAAAAGACTATAAAGATCATTATCAGATTAATTAAACTTACTAAACAAAATAATATCTAAATGCAACACACGTTATTTACTGATCTTTCAAGTCAGTCATTACAAGAATTAAAAATAAAATCAAATTAATACATTACTGGAAATAATTATGCAAATGTTATAGGTGGCTTTATAAGTTAAAGAAATAATGATTTTACTTTTAGTAATAAAACAATTAACTGTTATGAATTTTTCAAAATTATTTGTCAAAGATTTCGGGTAAGTAAAATATAGCATAAATAGATTGAAATAATTATAAAGCCAGTCAACACCTAACACTTACTGTTAGGTTTGTATAAACAAGCTAGACTTTCTAATAACATCGCAATATTCCACTTTATTCTATACGCTTTTATAAAAAGACATCTTTAAAAACTTATTATTTGGACTTTTACCATTATAGTAAGGATAAGGTTCAAATGAGGGCTTACCAAGATTTCAGATTATCTAATTGACAAATGGCAAAATGTTTAATTATTTCAAGTCATTTAATTGATAATTATATAAACAAGGGTGACACGCGATGAAATCAAAATATTTTTAAGAATTCTACAAAAGAACACTTAACATCATCTTGAATTAGGGCTGATTTAAATCTGGAAGTATTGTCTAAATGTGTGCATCAAATTTTGCAATTATATGAAATGCTTGTTGGACAAAACATGCAAAGAAACAAAGACTTACCAAGAAAACACAAAAGAAAGGAACGTGCTAAAAAATATATTATTTTTGACCAAGAGTAAAAGAAATTGTTGTTTACTAATGAAAATATGTTTAATTTACATGGCCAGATGGATAATATTACTGGCATGTGTATACACAAAAATGAAATTCATATGAATACAATATTGATGGAGGAACAATGATGTTATGAGATGATTTTCTTTTCCCTGGTAAAGTACCCTTGATATATAAAATGACCCATATGAAATTAAAGATTATTTTATCAACTAAGCTGAAATATTGTTGGTGAAGATGTAGGCATAATGAGAGAAATTTTCACAAACTTGATTGGCCAGCTTGTATTCCAGACCTTAATCTAATCAAGAATCTTTGGGTGGATCAGGATTATAGATTGCATGTAGACAACTATAAAACAATATACAGTGGTACCTCAGGATACAAATGCCCCAGCATATGAAATTTTCAGGATACGACACAAAATTCGAACATATTTTTGTTCCACGATACGAACAAAAACTCACCATACAACGTTACATTAGTTTGCAGCGCCACTTTTTATTCACTTCTGTTCATCGGTCTCAGTCCATGTGTTTGCTTCATTGTGGAAGGATCTCGCTCTATAAAGGAAATCTTGAGGTATTATCAGAAAGTGACCGATTTTATTGAAAAAAACCATCCCGAAAAGGTTCACACTGGCCTTATTGCCGCTCAGTTTAATGACATTTGCCTAAATCATTTTAGAAACATTTTAAAAAGTAGGCAAAGCCAAACCTCTTTGGATAGCTATTTTACCAACAGACCTCTATCCAGTTAAAGTGCTGGTGGAAGTGACAGAAAGAAAGCAAAAAGCAGTGAATAAAAAATGTAAAAAATATATGTAAAACAGAAAAGCTAAAAAAAATTAGTGTTAAGTTATTTTTAAGTTATCGTTACATTATGTTATGTAAGTTAAGTTTTAGTATCATTTCCCTTCTCCCTCTCCTCCGCCACCAGTTTACACCATTGTCTATTCTCAAAGGTAAAGTGCAAATATAACTACATTTTTTTTTATCAATTATTATTCTATTATGGTTATTTATACATTTACAACTACAAAATGCATTTTTCAGTGTTTTCCTTACTAAAGGTTTTTTTTTAATGTACTACTTAGCTTTAATTTGAGTGTGTTTTTCATTTTTTCATGTTGGATCTGATTATTTGGTTTTACATGTAATCATATGGGGAAAAATGATTCACCTTACAACATTTTCATGATATGATCTCAGTTCAGGAATGGATTAATTTCGTATCCTGAGGTACTACTGTACCCAAAAGTTTTCACATTCAAGTATCATACTAGAAATATAGAACAAAGACTAATACTTTGAAAAAAACCATAATTACAAAATCATCCATCATAAATGTATCTATTTCAGATATTCACAATATTAATATGAAAATAAATAAAATGCCTATGGTAAATGGATTAAAAGACTTACTCTATCTATTCTTCCATAGGTATCTTTATCACACACATTATACAAAAAAGTATACAATATTATGGTACCATATGTTTTTAGTGTTATGTCGTCCAGCTATGCCTAGTGGTGCTGGACATGCATCTTTATGCATTAATAAAATAATTGATTGTTATATCAGACAGTAATAACATTAAACACATACATGGCCAGGAATTTTGAGAGGAAACAAATAAACAACAGTAAATAAAATATTTACCTCATTTACAGCACACATCCTAGCTATAGAACCAATGTTATTTGTTAATGTAACTAATGTTGCTCTTGCTAAATCTTCTTTTGTAACTGCTGCTCTTTTTTCCTTACTTGACATTTGACCAAAACTAATAATAAAAATTATTATTATAATGATATGGTAACAAGCATCAATTTAAAAATTGAAAGAAATTCATGAAATAATGTAATTATTCATGTAATTCAAGAAATCTTCTAAAATCAACCTCAGATTGGCTGGAAAAAAGTCACAAATAGAGAAAAAAATTAATTGTTCACAAATATGTACTTATAAATAGCTACATCACTTTTGCACAGTTGCCACCAAAATCAGATACTTGTCTTATAGTGGTAGCTGCTTTTACAATCCCATGTGAAAGAACAGCACTACCAGATTATGCAGCCAGTTGCTGACTGCATCCATGAGCTCATCATTTGTTTCAAACTGCTGGGTAACTAACTGCACCTTATCTTGAAGAGATGGTAACTGCTTGATGCCAAGGAGATGGATGAAAATCTCCTATTGGAATTGCTCAGGTGAAGTCCTTGTGTGAACCAGTGTGAGGCTATGCACTGTCTTGGAGAACAATATACTTGGCGAGTTTTCCATATCTTAGTGAAGCTTTCAAGGTCAATCCAAAACAAAACCTCTGAATTTAGAAACCATGACACTAGAGATAATATTCAATATCAACAAAATTCCCTTGTAGTCCCAGAAGACTGTGGCCATCATTTTTGAAGTCAAGTGTGTTTATTTGAAAAGTGAACATGCATCCACTGTTTACTGTTCCTTCATATCTCTATTAAGAAATTAAACCAATGTCTCATGCCCTATCACAATCCTGTCCAGAAATATTGTTTCTTCCTGGAAGAAACATCAAGACTAAGCCTTGATGTTTCTTCTGCTTTGCGTAAGCTTTGAGTATTTTTTATGAACATAAGTCAGTTGTTTTTGTATCCACTTGATACTTATAGTAATCAAATCTCTGTCAATGCAAAATAGTAGTTCTCAAAATTTCAGAAAATTCACCATAAAGTTCCAAAAGCATAATGGATAGATTCACACAAACTATTTTGCTAATGAAAACATTTTAACATCAAAAGGCAAAGTGCTAATACTTTCAATCATGAATAATCTTCTTCCTCAGACAACCATTTTCAAATTAGAACCTAATGGAATTATAATACAATGCAAATAACAAACATATTTTGATGTAAAATGTATGTTTGAAAAATAAAAAGAGTAAAAACACAAGTGTTAAGTAAATGTACAATAAACCAAAAACATGTTACATAGGGGGAAGTTTTGAATGTATATATCAAATATATTTGTATCTTCACTTATTTAAACAATGGAATCCCAGATCAGATAGCTCTAGTGTAGGGTTAGTGCATATTTCGTTTGTTGATATATACAACATTTCTCAGGTAAACAGTATATTGCAGTCCCAATATTGGTGTATTAAGGATGCATATAATCATAAAGCTCATAACTGTGATTCAAAATCCTTTTGACAATTTCAATAGTGTAATGTCATCTTAATGTTCAGCCAGTCTGTTGTCTAGCATTCTTGCATTAGCACCTTTATATGCAGCTCAGATTATTAGTCTCTATCATTAAACACAAGAATGTGTAAAGAAATAAGGGTTTAATGGGAAGAAAATACTTGTCTCCTAAAAAGTCTAGCAAGATACAACAAAATTGGGCCTAGAAAGCAGATGTAACAAACTTTCTCTGTTGACAGCCATGATAGAAATTGAGAATAAAATCCTTAATATACTACAATTAATATAATTAAATTTGGTTATAGTGTGACCTGCTTTTAGAACCACCAATTTGATAACCTTTAACATCATAAGTTTGGTTTAGATTTAGCACTCTTAATTATACCATCAACTTTTTTCCAGCCACCATACTACATCAATGCCTCAATCATAAGCCTGATACAAAGAGCATATTTGTACCCTTCCACACAAAGCTTGATAGCAGAATAATTAAAGATTTAAAAAATGGCTTTAAACTCTTATGGTCTAGGCATCCTTAACACATCAATGTAGGGATATTGTTTATCTGGAAAACATTGTATATATTGACAAATGAAGCATGCAATAACCCTACATTAAAGCTACCCAATCTGTGGATTTCAACATTTAAACAAGTGACAATAATAGTGTCCATGGTTACTCAGTTGACTCATGAACAAATGAAAAACTAAATAGAATTACTATTCAGCAATACTCTGTATAAACCTTTACTTCTGTGTGCAGTGTGTCATATTGCTGTTAACCAGTTAATTTTTACCAGCCAATCAGAAGTTGATTTTGGAACAGCCTTCATAGATATATAACAAATCCATGAAAAAAAAAAAAAAAATTTACAAAAAAGAATTAATTTGATTAAAGCAAATTATTTCAGTTAATTATTTTTCCAAAAATATTTAATGAATTTTTTTTATTTTGTAAATTCATTACATGTAAAAAATTTTGTAATAAAATTTTTTTCTAATGTCAAAAAAAATTGTATCTATCAACACTATAACTGGAACCTGTTATCAGTATTCCTTGTGAAAAAACAGTATCACAAAAGTTTTCAAACTTTTGAACAGTTCTTCCTCAGATAAAATCCAATGAAATGCTTCAAAATAGAAAGTAAATACAGTAAAACCTGTCTATGGCGACCACCCACGGTTCCTTCAAAAAGTGGTCTTTTAGACAGGTGGTCGTTTAATACAGGTAACTTATGCGAAGATTGAAAATTCCGTGCCAGAAATTTTTGCCCGTTTTGACAGGTGCCCGTCCAATGCAGGTGGTCGCCTAAGCAGTTTTCACTGTATTTGAAAATTAAATCAAATGTCCGTATGAATAAATCCATTGTGCTGGGCATGCGTGTGCATGCGTGGGTGGTGGTAATTAAAGTTTGTCGTATATGAGGGCCTGCCAGGCTACCGATAGATTAAGCTCTTCTTTCTGGTTAACCTCTAATGATTAGAGTTTAACCATGCACACACAAATGCACATGCCCAGCGCAACAGATTTATTCATATGGACAGTCGATTTAATTTTCAAATACAGTAGAACCTCAATTATCCGGACCTCTATTATCCTGATTTTCAATTATCCTGATTGTTCAAAATAAACAAATTTTACGAATTTGCTGATTTGCACTTGGTGAATTATGACATTGTATGTGATGGAATGCATAACTTTTTTTGTTTCAACATCTTACCCAGCACAGAGGTCATAAACTCTTAAATATATTTTACGTCATAATAAAAATATAACTTGACATACGTATTTATAAATAATTTATATTCAAATTATATCATTTCTATGACCAAGGGCGGCATAAGGCGTGGACATGTGCCACTGCCTATGCCTCACAGTCCGAAAGGCCTCGCGCCTCGAAGGTTTATGCATTACTTAAAAGCTGCGAACGTGACAAAGAAATTTTACTCGTCATAAAACGATAAATAGTTTGTCAAATTTTTATTCATAAAAATGCAGTTTCAACTGCTTTTTATTTTATAAAATCTGTCTTCTTGCGCCATCAGAGGGCCTTTTAAACAATAGGTAGTCTGTTAGCGCTGGTCAGTAGTAGTCCAAATTCAATACAAACATTTGTTTCTTGAAAATTTGATCACAATTTAAATACAGTATTTATTTTTAATATTACCAATATGTCATTGAAAAAAAAGCATGTTGTATTATCATTAAAAGACAAATTAAAGTATTTGTTTCGATTATCCAAATTTTTCTTTATCCAGACTACCTTCATCCCCAATAAGTCTGGATAATTGATGTTCTACTGTACAGTGGAACCTCGGTATACGACCTTAATCCATTCCTGGTGTTTGGACTTATACCAAATAGGACGTATACCAAACCAACCTTTCCCATAAGAAGTAATGTAAAAATGATTAATCCATTCTCATGAAAAAAAAATGGCTGGCTTTAAACACCTCGCTTTCCTGTCTAGTTCCTGCTTGATTTTTCATGAGATCAGCACGTATCTTTTTAGCTTTCTCGCAAATAATTGCTTCTGATACAATGTCGCCAGCACACGGTTTTTCAGTTATCCAAAGCAAAAGCAATTTCTCAACATGATCTAATTTCTTCAATCTCTGTTTAGAAATTGATTTAACCCCTTTCGCAACGTTAGCAGATTTAATAATGTCTTTACTTTTTACAATTGTCGATATCGTCGTTCTTGGAATACGGTATGCAACAGTTAAATCTCGAACACTCATGCCACCTTCACATTTCTCAACAATCTCTTTTTTTCAGTTCCATTGTAATTTTAGTCATTTTTTTATTTTTCTGTTGCCTTTTTGCAATTCATGATTAACAAAAATAATAAAATGTTACTTACAAATTAAAATCTGAAGAAATTTAACAAAGTTATAAACCGTAGCATTGCGAACGTCTAGTCTGGTGTAGTACACCGATAGTGCTACAGTACTTGTTCATAGATGGCGCGCGTATAATTGAATTAAGTCGTATACCGAACAAAAGTCGTATACCAAACCAAATTTGTTTTGTCCAAACAGGACGTATTCCGAATTGGACGTATTCCAAATTGGATGTATTATAAAGCAGACGTATACCGAGGTTCCACTGTATTTACTTTCTATTTTGAAGTGTTCCATCAGATTTTACCTCAGGAAAAACTGTTCAAAAGTTTGAAAACTTTTGTGATAGACTGTATTTTTTCACAAGGAACACCAGTAACAGGTTCCAGTTATAGTGTTGATTTCATCCCTGATTTTAAGGTGATGTTGAACTTCTTACTTAATTGTATCTATTTCAAATTAAATATTTCTTGACGTGTGTTATCTTTTAACTTATTTTTTGTTTAATTCTACCAAAATAATCACAATTTAAATCTTGTAGTTTGGAGTAAGAATTTGAGTTTAAGTAGTAATAATAATGATTATTATGATGGTGAAACTAAATAAATTTCATTAAAAAATGTACTGTAACCAAATGTCTTAAATAATAACTATATATTTCAAACTTTAAATATCTAAATTTAGTTAAATTTCCTATGCAAAACAATATTAAACATTTTGATTATTATGCAAATTAGCATTGAAAGATAATTAAGTCTATTTGTTATGCCTCTGTCCTTAAATTATTCCAATATAAATAGTAAAGATAATAGAATAGAGAATGAATATATCTTCTTTAGCAATTAAAGTACAATATCCAGAACCAGTTATATGCATTACATGCAACACTTGCATGTCAAAAGATTTTGCTTGTATTTGATATTTCAAGATATATATTAACTTAGGATTCAAGTTAACAATAATATGTGTTAATGTATGCTTTATAAGTAACTGAAAAAAAAGATTTATGTATTTGTGAGAAAATTAGTAATTTTATAGAAATATCACATATTAGATAGTACACATTTATTTTAATTGAAGAAATTACTTCTTTCCAAAATTTTATCAATATTATCTTAAGCGATTTAATAAATAAATAAATATCAATTTGATTGAAATTATAAATTTTAAAATATCCTAATAATTATGAATAGTATGTAAATATTAAAAACAAAATTCTTACCTGCTAGCAACAATATCACCTGGTAAATTAAATTTTGAATAATCTCCACCATAAATATCTTTAACTAGTTTATCAACTTTATTACTGTCACCTTTCTCTGCTAAAGCAATGGCTTCTTCAAAAGTTTCACAACCAGTAAGAAGACAACAAAGCCCTAAAAATGTACCACCTCCTAAACTGAATGAAAAAGAAAAATCCTAGGAATAAATTTATTGAATTTGTTTGAGGTTTTTTATGATATCAAAAACATACCTGGTACCTGAAATTCTTTTATAATTATTAGGAGAATAAACAGCAAGAATACTAACTCCAGAACCAATATTTACAACTAAAAATGGATAGCAGTTTGTAAAATCATATCTTCTTTTCCTACAAGTTTCTTCATTTGGATTACACCAATAGTAACATTCACTTGGATTATTAGCTTCAATAAAATGTATACCACGAATTAATGAGTCCAATTCATCAAATTTATATAATTCTAAATTTACTTCCTGAAAATTAAAATAAATAACTAAATTACTAGATATTTTGATAATATAAACTTTATTTTCATTAAATTATTCAACATATTGANATTACTATTCAGCAATACTCTGTATAAACCTTTACTTCTGTGTGCAGTGTGTCATATTGCTGTTAACCAGTTAATTTTTACCAGCCAATCAGAAGTTGATTTTGGAACAGCCTTCATAGATATATAACAAATCCATGAAAAAAAAAAAAAAAATTTACAAAAAAGAATTAATTTGATTAAAGCAAATTATTTCAGTTAATTATTTTTCCAAAAATATTTAATGAATTTTTTTTATTTTGTAAATTCATTACATGTAAAAAATTTTGTAATAAAATTTTTTTCTAATGTCAAAAAAAATTGTATCTATCAACACTATAACTGGAACCTGTTATCAGTATTCCTCGTGAAAAAACAGTATCACAAAAGTTTTCAAACTTTTGAACAGTTCTTCCTCAGATAAAATCCAATGAAATGCTTCAAAATAGAAAGTAAATACAGTAAAACCTGTCTATGGCGACCACCCACGGTTCCTTCAAAAAGTGGTCTTTTAGACAGGTGGTCGTTTAATACAGGTAACTTATGCGAAGATTGAAAATTCCGTGCCAGAAATTTTTGCCCGTTTTGACAGGTGCCCGTCCAATGCAGGTGGTCGCCTAAGCAGTTTTCACTGTATTTGAAAATTAAATCAAATGTCCGTATGAATAAATCCATTGTGCTGGGCATGCGTGTGCATGCGTGGGTGGTGGTAATTAAAGTTTGTCGTATATGAGGGCCTGCCAGGCTACCGATAGATTAAGCTCTTCTTTCTGGTTAACCTCTAATGATTAGAGTTTAACCATGCACACACAAATGCACATGCCCAGCGCAACAGATTTATTCATATGGACAGTCGATTTAATTTTCAAATACAGTAGAACCTCAATTATCCGGACCTCTATTATCCTGATTTTCAATTATCCTGATTGTTCAAAATAAACAAATTTTACGAATTTGCTGATTTGCACTTGGTGAATTATGACATTGTATGTGATGGAATGCATAACTTTTTTTCTTTCAACATCTTACCCAGCACAGAGGTCATAAACTCTTAAATATATTTTACGTCATAATAAAAATATAACTTGACATACGTATTTATAAATAATTTATATTCAAATTATATCATTTCTATGACCAAGGGCGGCATAAGGCGTGGACATGTGCCACTGCCTATGCCTCACAGTCCGAAAGGCCTCGCGCCTCGAAGGTTTATGCATTACTTAAAAGCTGCGAACGTGACAAAGAAATTTTACTCGTCATAAAACGATAAATAGTTTGTCAAATTTTTATTCATAAAAATGCAGTTTCAACTGCTTTTTATTTTATAAAATCTGTCTTCTTGCGCCATCAGAGGGCCTTTTAAACAATAAGTAGTCTGTTAGCATTGGTCAGTAGTAGTCCAAATTCAATACGAACGTTTGTTTCTTGACAATTTGATCACGATTTAAATACAGTATTTATTTTTAATATTACCGATATGTCATCGAAAAGAAAACGTGTTGTATTATCATTAAAAGACAAATTAAAGTATTT